ACTCACCTTCATCCTCATCAGAGATCGTCGTTTCAATATCTTTGATACATTTATAAAATTGCTGTAGCACCACTTATGTGTTCCATGTAACGTCTTGTTGAAATTGGTTGGTACATTCGCGCAAATGTCATGCAATTTTTCATTTGCTGTGCCTCTTTTCTGGCAAACTTCAATAGATTTTTTGATTTTCTGAAAACTTGTTTTAGTCAATGATCTAATTTTCTTCTCTGATTTGTTTCTGGAATAATGGATTATGCATTGCAGAGCCTTGTTCTGTGTTTGTTTAGCTCTCAATCTGGAAGATTTCAAGTTGACAGGTTTTTCATCAGTGTTGTGCACATTAGACATGTTGAACTATTACTGACTGGCAAACTGGGAAGTAATGAAAGTGAATTGAACTTTACAATGACATTCAATTTTTTTTACTTACAATGAATGTTAAGAAAACACTTATATACTTATAAATATGTAAAATAATAAACAAAATAAAAATATTGTATTAAAAGTAATTCCATGCATAAGGGAAGTAAATATCACTTTTATATAACTGAAACAAATTACTAAGTAGATGAAATAATCATATCACTGAAAGAAAAATTAAATACATTACACATGAATGAATGAATGAATGAATGAATGAATGAATGAATGAATGAACGAACGAATGAACAAATGAACGAACAAACGAACGAATTAATTAATTAACTGATTATTTAATGAATTGATTGTTCAACTTATAACTATTTATGCACAATATATGTACCTGACCGCGAATATTAGCTGTTGGCTTTGATTTATCTTTGTATTTTGACCAATGTCTTAAAAGGTGCAAACACAGTAACTACTACTACATATATGTATACTTTTTCCATAAGACTTTCAAATCTGTAAATATAAATAGATATGCAATCATTATTAAAAGATTTGCAAAGTAAATGACATCGTTTTTTTCTATTTAGAGTGACTACCATGAAGCTATAATTTAGCAGTGTTTAAGCGATTGTTATAAGGTGTTGGAGATAAAATGAGTGCCAGAGGAAGTACACTGACACATTTTTCACATGCATGTGGTTTGCATTAGTGTTACAACATAATTATAGAACAAATAAATCATGTGAGTTGATATATATCCCTCTACAATTCATCTTAATCGCCTGCACACACGTTTTCTCATTATAAATTCAAAATGGCGGTCGTGTGGCCACGCCTACCATTGGGCAGATGGCAGACAACCTGATTCTTGTCAGACACACCCTAAGGTATGTAAAAAACATCACCTTGAAAAATCCCCATAGGGGGGGAGGTGGGTCAAAGGCTGGCCCATGGTCTATATGTCACTAAGCCTATATTAATATTGTTATGTCCTGATCATGATTTATAAACTAAATGTACAGACAATGCATCATACTAATAGTAATTCTACTTATAGTAAATCCAAATACTCGTAACATAAAATACACCAAATATCACATCGACATAAAAACTCAAACCTCAACTCGGAAGATTTTATGTTTTTGCAATGCATTACGTGTTTGTCGCGGGCGGCTTGCCAAACTTAAGTTAGTGTAAAAACTGTAACTAAACCCAAATATTCTCCCAAATGCAGTGCATGGCAGTGTGTAAGTTATCTCATATCATATGCTGTTATTGAACAATTATTGTATAAGATATACTACATGATATTTTTTTCATTTTCTGTAATCGCCATCTGCAATATTATACTATAAAATGTCAGCATTGATATATTATAATATTCAAAGGTTGGTGTTTAAAAACCAAACAAAGTGGTGAAATATTTCAATTTTAATATTTGCTCTCACCCTTTATGTGTTTTTTTATATACTAATACCGTCATAATTGGGATATAGTTATTTATAAATCTGAGCATTCGTGATTCGCGAATCGTATATTACCTTGACCCTACGAAATGAATGATACCACACACAAAAAATGTACATGGAACGTTGCTCGAAATAACCGAGAAATAGTATAAAATTGTATACAATAGACAATACAGGTGAATCTGGATCTAAAGAATGCTTCATCGTTTTGACCTAGTACGTTGTGACATTGGTTTGTGTCCTCACTAAATATTCCCAATCTCAATAAATTTGGCTATTCAAAATAACAAACCACGGAAAATACTTCCAAGTTGACATATGTTTCGTGATGTACGCTATCACATGAAAGGCCTTATGTAGTTTTTATGATTCACACAATATATCGTATTTGCTCTTTATCGTGTGCCTGGATTTTGACCTCAGTCACACCTTTTTCATTTGTCATGTATCAGTAGTTGTATTCTTCCAACTTAATGACATATCATATTACCGTGTTTCTCATTGAATGATGCAAGTTTTTGTTGTTCATTCTCTGTAAAGATTTGTGACATTTCATTTCATTCCTCGCAGTAAAAATTAATCGGATTACAGTATATAAACCAAGTTAATCACACACGAGACAATGTTCAATTTGTATGTTATCTTCCTTGATTATTAATTATCCACGCATTAACATCAACTAAGTCAAAGTTTGTGAAGGACAAGGTGGACACAGCTTAGTCATGTGCATACTACTAAACTTAATATCTATTTTTTTACTCCATTCATATATATACTGTAAACCGCATAATATTCGTTGTCAGAAACGTTTGCTATTTGTGGAAGAAAATAATTGTGAAAATCACTTCGACTACCTAGGGCACAATAGTCTCAATGAAATATTCACTGCTTGAAAGTCACTACATCATAATGTCTTAAAGCGCTCAGTTAAATATTCACTGTTACAATTCATTTTGATATTTCCACTGACTGTAACAATTTGCAAAACTTTGTCCCTTGCAAAAGTAAGAAGGTTTGGAGTAATTCAATCAACATAAAGAAATAGATGTTTCCATAAAAAAATAAGTTATTTAATTTACTGGATCTATTTTACGGGATGAGTACTTTGTGTAAATGTATTGACATGAGTGTCTGGATCCTCAAACCTTTATCATGCGTTGACAAATTTACTTTCAGTTTACCCTATTTGTTGTTAAGAGATTCCACTCTACTACAAACAACACATATGGAGAATCCTTCCTAATATTGCACGTCATATACATGCAGTGATGCATCTAAGTAAAATACATCAGTTGTCAGTAGTGATGTTGTGTGGTGCACAATAAACCTATAATGCGATGCTGATATAAATAAATTAATTCGTTATGTGTTGTTCCACAAAAACCTTACCTGTGTAAATCAACCTTTCAGTATTTGGCCATTTCATGCGTAATCTAAGCATGTTTGTGTTTTCTTTGTAGTTTTCCAAAAAGTGTGTGTTTAGGACACCAATGACATTTAGTCCCAGATCGGATGGACAGAAAGCTAGACCGTCACCTTCCAGACGAGAAATGTTCATGGAAGAACTGAGATTAGACAGTGAGTAGGCGATTTAAATGACCTCCCACCTAATGGCGGGTCACTATTATTGCCTGGTTTATATTCACAGCTCTATCTGAACCTTTGAAAACAATTTAACATGGTTTTGGCGATGGTGTACATGTAGGATAGTGATCTATGAATTGAACTCGTGTATATGGTTAATTATTCCAACAATAATTTCCTTCTACAAACCTTGCCCAGACTTAACACCAAGACCCCTATACTACACAGACTCCTAACCCTCACTTAACCCCTTCTACCTCAGAACTATCGTTATGATTGTAATTGTTTCCAGTGCAATTGGAAATGGCGTTCTTATAGCGTGTATGTATGTCAGTCATGTAGAGTACCATAAAATAAAATAACAAGTTACACAAAAGTGATGTCAATAGCATGACACATTTCTCGTGCCTGGAAAGCCGGAGGTAATATCTTGAGATTTTAAAATTGCTTGACACGTTGGCAAAATAAGGACAACGAATTCCATCATAAATGCGACGGTATGCATTGAGATTATGGATCCAATAAATTATTGACCGGCATTGTGTGGGTGCCTTATGAAATCAGCTAGAGCGGCCCTGAACAATGTGAACAACCACATTATATATTCACCAAACATGTTGTATTATTATTAATACCAGTTGCTCCCATGGTAAGCTTAACATTTCTATCTGTTTACATGTATGTGCTGCACTACGTACATTTACTACCAGCATATCTGAACTGTGTGAAATAATCTAAAATGTATAGGTATATC